GACGTACTGGTGCACGCGCGTGCATGCCGAGTTGACGCACACAGTGGGGTGCCAGTGCCCTGACCTCCAACACGCAAGGTCATGCGGATAGATAGGACGTGAGCTCACCCGATATGTCTCGATGAGGTAGGCCAAGGAGACCAAGCGTGTTGGAGGTCAGGGGATTGGAGAAAACAGATCAGCGTTGAACGAGGAGGAATGTGGAGGAGATGGAGGAGAGAGGATGGGATTGGTGGCGGAGTGGATGAAACGGATTGGGGAATACAAGAAACGATTATTTTCCCTGAGCCTCTGGCTTGTGATTTCTAGGTTGAAGCCGACCGCCAGCCCTTCTAAGTACCACCTGCACCTTGCCCTAACAAACTCTGGTCAAATGTATCCGGCTGTGGCGGTACGTGTGGTTCTTCTCCTCCGACTGCGGCTCTGGCACCCACTCCCATCTGTCCGACCCGGCTGCCATTTCCCGACCCCGGCTTCTGAGCGGCCAGCCTATTCCGGCGCCCCAGCGCCCTCCCGCCGCACCCTCGTAGGTGCCTCGACGCGGGCTTTCGTCTTGTCTTGTCTTGAGTGGGCGCGGCGCTAATGCGAGAGCCACTTTTTGAAAACGACCCGCACTCCATTTGTGACTTTGTTGTTGTTTTATTTAAAGCTTCAGAGTCATACGTGGTGAGGAAGTCTTAGGCGGCCCGCCCGGCCCGCCCTAAAACCTGGCCTCGGGGTGCGACAGGGAGAAGCTATCTATAAGGTGAAGGAATGGAGGAGGAGGAGGAGGAGGAGGAGGAGGAGGAGGAGGAGGAGGCCATCCCGTAACCGCTTTAACTCAATTCAAGTTGTCGGCGGGGGCCGCCAGGCAGGGCCGCCGAAGGTCCTCATACTTGCGTTTCATGTGCAGCACTTGTTGTGCCCACGCAGTCTTCACACTCAGCTAACGGAGGGAGTCGTTGCCATAGTAACGGCGGTGCCATGCCGAATGGAGAGGACGAGCCCCGATTCAAGCCCACGAACGCAGCGCGACCAGGATAACTGCGGGCACGAGAGGAACTACCGCGCCAACAATACGTTCCTCGCATGCTGGCTAGGTTCCTCACGTGTGCATGAACGACGTGGCGGTCTGGAAGTTTCGGCTGATAGCGTGGGAAGCATGACACTTCGCTGCTTTTGGTGGCACGCACGGCCAGGTCGCCAACGTCGGCAGTTCCTTCACGGCACACTGCGACGACTGCATGCGACGACCGTGTGGAACTTGGCGGTGGAAGTTCGAGCATTAGATTGGGTCACCTGGAGCTTAACTTGGGCCTCTTGGGAGTGTGTCTCCTGAGGGGGTGGTGCCAGCAAACGCCCGTATGTTTGTTCCTCCGCCCAGCGATTGGGCATCGGCGTGCTGTTGCCTCCAAGTTGTTGTGGGTAGGCCGCCTGGTCGTTGAAACTGGCGCCCGCAAGCCCATCCCACTCGCGCCCCCTGGAGTGGGTGAGCTCTAGAAGGTGCCTTGGGGGCCCCGTGGCAGGGATCTTATTTTTGAGAACGGCGCCCGCCAGCCAATCCGCAAGAGTGTTTCAAGGGTGCCCCGCGTGTCCCTTGACATGCCGAATGTTAAAGCGACTCCTAGTTCGCAGCTGGGACCACGTAGCACAGGCAAGCCTGCAGATGCGATGATGGGCAGGGGGGGCGGAGTGGCCAGATATGGCTCTAACTACGTTGAGTGAGTCGGTCTCCACGCGAGCTGGCACCAAGGTAGGTTCCTGCATGAGATAAATGCCTGCCCATAGCACCCCGACGTACTCACTTTTCCGTGCTGGTCGCTGTGGCATGCACGGTGGTAGTCTTGCAAGAGGCCCCAAGCACCTCTGCCCACCATCCATGGAATGAGAAGCCAGACGCATCCTGCCCAACAACGAGCAAAGCCTTGGAGGCAGGGACCTCAAGGTCCTTCCGAACCGAGCCATCCGTGACGATATGCAAGCCCTGAAAAAGCCCCTGCCAGAACTCGGCCAACTCATGGGCCATCCTGGATATTTCCGGCAGCTCGTTGTTGCGGGGCCGTCATATTTAGAGCAGGCGCTGAGCCACTGGTCAGATCGAAGAGGGTTAGACGGCCCCTCGGAATGCCAGGACCCAGCCGACGATTCACAGACTGCTCGCTATCAGGGGGCCTTCGATCCCATCACTGGCTTCGATGTCATGCGCCGCAAGGGAGCTACCTGAAATGCCTGTCCAGGGGAAGGAAGTGATAGCAGGAACGGAGTTGAGGAGGAAGGGGCTGCTGCACCGACTTACTGCAGCTAGAGAGAATACAAGTGAGCCACTCACGCCCTGTGGCACCTGACCGTGACATGTGGATGCGGAGAAACATGTGCACACTCTCGAGTCTAAGCACGGCACGCTGTCTCTCAGCTCTAGACACTCTAAGTTCCCCTTGGTGGTGCAATCTACGCCCTGCCAACCGAGAGTCCCCAGGATATTCAGCAGTAGGGTTAGAGCTGCAGCCGTGCCTTTGGAAATCGGTCGCGTGCAGGCAGAAAATTGCAAGCATTTCGCGCTCGAGCTCACTGGGTGGCTACCCACCGTCAGGGCATGGTTGAGCGCTCCCCACATTCCCCGTGGTATATGAAACGCCCCCACTCCTCCCAGTTTGAAAATCGTTAGGCCACGGCGCCGAGTCTAGTGTATTAGTGAGGCCAATGGTGGAGGGCTGCGCACAAATTACAGCCCACTCGCCTCCGCAAAAATGGTGTATCTCCCAGTCTGTCGGATCTATGAAGATACTTTCGAAGAGCTCCAGCTTTACATAGGAGCGCACCTCGGCCAGGAACCCCACCTGAGTTTCATCTCCCAAGGACAATGTTCAAACATGTGGCCGGTATAAATGCAAGTTTGCGCCATATGGTCCTCGACCGACGCAGAAGATTGCTTGGCTGATGCTACAGCGGGCGCGAACAATTGCCACGGACTGCTTTCTACTGCGCTAGTTTGCCTCTCGCAGGAGGCAAGACAACAACGAGGAAATGCCGAGTGAGCCCTGTGGTAAGTGTTAGGGAAGGTAGGCTTATAGCTGAACGAGAGGGCCCAGCCTTGGGGGGAGGGAGGATGCATTGTGGGCATGTTAGGGCTAAGGTACCCGCGCCCCAGTTCACAGACTTAGCGGGCCTATTCGGCCTCAGACGTCGTCCTCCTTGCGAGTTGCCTTGGCAGGCGGGCTCGCAGTGTCTGGGTCCCTGTAGCCGTCCTCCGTGACCGAGTGGTTCGGTGGCGGGGCTGGGGAGTTCTATTCGGTTTGGCATGCGGTCTTCGGTTATTTCTGCCTTATTTTTTTTCCTGTGGTTTGTGGCACTTTAATGTTTTACGTTGGCCGTGCCGTTTGCTGGTTTGGGGCCGGGGTGCTATTGTTTTACATTTTGCTTTTCTTCATTGTGGCTGCATTATGATTATTTTTATTTTTCTTAGTGCTGGCGCCTTGGGTGTTCATTGTCCTCTGATCGTATTCGGTGGCTGGATCAGCGGCTCTTCCCGGATGCCGGCCATCGGCTGGGTCGGTGCCAAGAGCTCCTGGTCCATTGGCTGCACCTCCATCTGGCTTCGAACTCCGAAGGCTGACTGGCTCTCGGAGTCGGCGCAATCGGTGTATCCGTGCCTGACTGTGCTGGCGTCTCGGGCTCGTCCTTGGCCGAGCTCCCTGGCACTGACGTGAGCGGCGTACGCTGCGCAGGCGGAATGGTGGAGGGAGCCCTGAGATATCTCTCGGGCTTCACTGCTCCTCGCTCGCTGGGTGACACTCCTCTGCCATGTGACGGCGGCGTCTTCGGAACTGGTACTGCTGCTGCTGCTGCTGCTGCTGCTGCTGCTGCTTCTGCTGCTGCTGCTGCTGCTGCTGCTGCTGCTGCTGCTGCTGCTGCTGCTGGGGGGGGGGCTGCAGCCGTCGCAGCTGCGCCCCCTGCTGTAAACCCCATATGCTGCGGCACGACTGCTGGTTGACCATGTTGGTGTTGTCCCTGGATCTTCAGCTGCATCTCGTTGATCGTCTAATTCTGCGCGACTTGGATGGACATCATGTGGTTCATCATGTGAAAGATCTCAGGCAGGCCGACAGGTGCTGGCGGACTCGGATGCTGAGGAATCCATGGGGGCGGCGGCGGGAAAGGTTGCGGTGCCGACGCGGCACCTGTTGCTCCCTCTCCCACTGCCATCCCCCTCGGCGCCTGCCCGGCTGGCCCTGGGAGGTGGCCAGCGGGTTTGGCTGCCGCTGCCGCTGAACCCGACTGGGGAGGAAAGCCGAAGGGCACTCCTACACCTCCCTCGTCGGTTGCGCGCGCCGCTGCTGCCCGCCCCTGGGCCTCGAGCTTCGCCGCAGCTTCAGGTGCCGCTCCCGCTGGATGAGTTCTCGGCCTTGGTATCGGATCGGCTCGAGCAGCGACTGCTGCTCCACCTCCAACTCCAGGTGGTGCTCCCATGTCGTCGTCCTCATTCGCGTACTCATCGTTGAGCTCCTCTAACTCATTGATGCAGCTCCTGATCCTGGCCCGCCTGAGGCCGACGGTCGGGGAGAGTGGCGGCCCATGGGTAGGAGGGAGGAGGAGATTAAGAGGAGGGGAAAGGGAGGCGGAGTGGGAGGGGAAAGGGAGGAGGACTGCCTCATCAGGGGCTCTTCCTTCACGAAGCGATCGATCTCCTGGCTGCATCGCAGCAGGGGGCTGTGGCGCCCACAGAAAACCAAAAAGCCAAAAAGCCACAGGGCAGCGGAGGCAGCTGAGGAGGGGGGGTTGTCGAGCCAGCGCGAAGGCCCCGGGCCTGAGGGGGAGCTGCTGGGGCGCCTCTTCCCCCCTCCTTCGCGATCAGCCCCGCTCCTCCTCCTCCTCCTCCTCCTCCTCCTCCTCCTCCTCCTCCTCCTCCTCCTCCTCCTCCTCCTGCCTCCTCCTTCCTCCTCATGAAAGGGGGAGGGGAAGGAGCAGGAGCCGAGCAGGCCGAGGAGAGGGCAGCGCGGCGGAAGCGGCGGCGGAGCGGGCAGGCGCTGCCGAATGTCGCGTTCGAGCAGGCCGCTCCCGCCGCGCGCGGCCGCGGCGCGCCGGGGGCCTCCGCCCGTCGGGGACGCAGCACCCCGGGCAGGAGGGCACCGACTGTAGGCAGAGGAGGAAACGTCGAGTAGGTGGGGGGCCACATTCGAACCCTGCCCCTACCCCCCACGCTTTCGGAGCGAAGTGAACCCCACCCTCCCCCTCAGGAATCGTGGGGGGGTAGGGGTAGGGTTCGAATGTGGCCCCCTAGCAGGGGATCCACTGCAGAGTCGGTTTGCCCCAAGATCGGTTGTCCCGCGGGCTTCACGAAAAGTACGCACCAGTTTCGTAGATCTATGAGGTACCCATGCCGCTACCCTTCGGAGGCCTTGGCCCTCCTCGGAGGGGGCGCGGGGCGCCCGCGGCCGCGGGAGCGGGGGGCGCGCCCTGCCAGGGGCCTCCTCGCCCGCTCTCCCGATCGCCCGCAGGGCCGCCTGCAGGGCCAGCTCGAGGGGATCCCGGTTTGGAGGAGGAAAGGGTACCCCTTATTGCTACCCTTCGCGCGTTTCCCCTTTTGGGGCCTCCTCGGAAGCCCTCGTCGCCACCGCTGGATTCGCTTCGAACTTCTGGTCAGAACGCACCACGGGAGAGTTCAGGAGTAGCGGCAATGTCAGCTTGTGATCGACAACTGTGTACCCCCCCCCGCCCCGGGGTTGATAAATATACCCTTGGCGCCAGGGGGTCGTCACAGGCGCCGCCGAGGGGATCGTCGACGCCCCCTGTTTGACAGCCTCAAAACGATTGCCTTTCGTATAGAAGTTGTCATACGGGTCGTACACATCCGAGGCAATTGTTCTTTCCCCTCTCAGGCGTCGTCGTAGTCGTCGTCGTCGCCGCCGCCGCCGTCCAGAGTCGGGAAGAAGGAAGGAAGGAAGAGGAGCAAGGAAGGAAGAATGAGAAGGGGGTGCCAGAGTCGGGTTGACCCAAAAGGGGGTCCATCGACAAGGGGATGGTGCAATAGAGTAGGTGGTGCAATAGATTTCTGGGGTTGCAATACACTTGGGGCGTGCTATACATTCCGGGGCGCAATGTATTGCCAGATTTTCGCATGCAATACATGATTTGCACAACAACGCAATACAATTCTTTGACGCAGTACATTCGCAATACAATTGCCCCAAATCTATTGCACCACACCCTTTCAGCTGGACCCCCTTTGGGGTCACCCGGACAGAGGGGTGGGGGAGGGACACGGCCACGATTGCCAGAGAAGCAGCAGCCCCTCCGACGACTATGCTGCCCTGAAAAGGTAATGCAACTTCTGCCGGTCGCGTCGAGCCAATAAAAAGCAATTCAAAACCCGTCCCCAGATCCCTCCTGGGGTCCATCCGAGGCAATTTTGCACCCTGGGTTCGTTTTTGAAGGCCCCGGGGCCCAGAAGCGGTCCCCGGGGACCGAAAACGATAAAAACCGCAAAGGGCGAACAAAGAAACAGCCTAAACTTAGCTTTGCGAAGGACCCAACCATATGATGCAAATGTGGGTAACGCAGTTGCGAGCATCGTTTTCGGTGAAGCACCCGCCCTATGGGGCCACGAAACGTGTCGGGTGTGTGCCGAAATGGATGCCAGGGGCGCATGCGAACGGCGCCATTGGGATCTTCGGTGGAACTCCCTATGGGACATCGAAACGTGTGAGGAGTGTGCTGAAATTAGTGGCGGGGGCGCGTGCGAAAGGGTGCCACTGAGACCTTCGGCGGAGCACCCCATGGAGCCACGAAACGTGTGAGGGGTGCACCGAAATTGAAGTGGAACTGCATGCGGACCCTGCCACTGTGGCCTTGAGTGGAGCACCCTATGGGGCCACGAAGCGTGTGAGGGGTGCGCCGAATAGGAGGCGGAACTGCATGCGGACCTACCACTGGGGCCTTCGGTGGAACACCCCAAGGGCCACGAAGCGTCTTAGGGGTGCACCGACATGGAGGTGGGACTGCATGCGGACCCTACCACTGGGGCCTTCAGCGGAGCACCCTATGAGGCCACGTAGCGTGTGAGGGGTGCGCCGAGATGAAGGTGGAATTGCATGCGGACCCTGCCACTGGGGCCTTCGGAGGAGCACCCTATGGGCGTGTGAGGGATGCGCCGAGGTGGAGGTGGAACTGCGTGCGGACGCTGTCACTGGGGCCTTCAGTGTAGCACCCTGTGTGGCCACGACACGTGTGAGGGGTGCGCCGCAATGGAGGTGGAACTACATGCGGACCCTGCCACTGGGAGCTTGGGCGAAGCACCCTATGAGGCCACGAAGCGTGTGAGGGGTGCGCCGAGGAGGTGGAACTGCATGCGAACCCTGCCACTGGGGCCTTCTGATTTGCACCACATGTGGCCACGACACGTCTGAGGGGTGCGCCGAAAAGGAGGTGGAACTGCATGCGGAAGCTGCCACTGGGGCCTTCGGCGGAGCACCCTATGAGGCCACGAAGCGTGTGAGGGCTGCACCGACATGGAGGTGGAACTGCATGCGGACCCTGCCACTGGGACCTTCGGTGGAGCACCCTATGGGGCCACGAAGCGTGTGAGGGGTGCGCCGAATAGGAGGTGGAACTGCATGCGAACCCTGCCATTTGGGCCCTCGGTGGAGCACCCGATGGGGCCACGAAACGTCTGAGGGGTGCGCCGAGATGGAGTTGGAACTGCATGCGGACCCTGCCACTGGGACCTGGGCTGGAGCACCCTATGGGGCCACGAAGCGTATGAGGGGTGCGCCGAAGTGGGCACGCAAGAGAGCAGAGGCAGGGATGGGAGGAGGGAGGCAGGAGGGGGAGGCGGAAGGAGGAGTGAGCGACGCAGGGCGCTGTCTCTTCAAACCAGAGACCCAACACCACAGGATGGTTGGGACAATGTGCATGATGTTTTCGGGGCAGTGATAGGAAAAAGCAGGGCGGCTATTTTCAAGTCTGTGGCCGTCAAAGCCTTACCCAGGACGACGCGCCAACCTTAGGGAAGGGGTCGAGGGGTCCGGGAGACCGGGGATTCGAAAAATCGAGTCGTCGGAGCTGCGGCGCTAGGAGCAGCACCGGGCAGCAGAGGCAGCCTCACCAGCTGGCAAGTTTCGCCGCCGGCCCGCGATGATCGATGGGGGGGTGTTCGGATGTCTTGGGAAGGCTTTGGGACGTTTTCGGTTCTATTGTGGCTTCCAGGGGCCCACGGGGATCTCCAGGAACCTCGGGGGCCTCGGGGCGGGAGCAAAACTTGCCGCCGGCATCTCCTCGGCCTCCAGAGCCTTCTCCTCCGCCGCGCGTTCCTCCTCCTCTTTGTCCTCTTCTGCCTCCTCGTCGTCCTTTTTAGTGGCCTCCGGCCCATCCCGCCCACCGTGCCTGGATTGCGGGGTCATGGATGTTTCTTAGGGTCTCTTCGGAGGGCTCTCGGAACCCTTTGGGGGGCAGTGTTGAGTCCTCCTCCTGGGTGGATAGGGTCCGAGCTTCTGGAAAACCATTTTCCTACTTACAGAAATGGTTTTCTGAGCCCCCAGAAATGGTTGGGGGCTAGGCCGCAGACATGGCCAAGCTCAAGCGGCGCCCCGCGGCGGCCGCGGCCGCGGCCCCGTCGGGCGCCGATGCCGCCGCTCCCCGACCCCGCCCCGTGCGCCACGCGGCGGCCGCGGCCGCGGCCCCGTCGGGAGCCGATGCCGCCCCTCCCCGACCCCGCCCCGTGCGCCACGCAGCGGCCGCGGCCGCGGCCCCGTCGGGAGCCGATGCCGCCGCTCCCCGACCCCGCCCTGTGAGGGTGCGACTGCCGTCGCGAGACGGCAAACCCAGGAAGCTCACCGCCAGAACATAATCTCCACATCCACTTCTTCGGGGCTGTGCCCAAGGGCCTCGGGGAGCGGTGGATATGGACCTCCGCATCCACATCCACCGTTCCTCGGGGTTCCAGGGCGCGACCCCGAAGCAGTGGATGTGGACATACTCTGGCTGTGCAGGACCAAGAGCTCTGGCACGAGCGGCTTCTAAAGAGATCGGCAAGCCAGGGTAGCAGCGGAGCTAGCCCGTGACCAGGCCATCCAGCACATGGAAGTCCAAGCAATGCAGTACGAGGACGCCGTGGCGCTAGCGCAAGGAGCTGCCGCCACGGCGGCGGCCCAAGTAGAGCACCAAGCAATGCAGTATGAGGACGCCGTGGCGAGAGCACACACAGCCGTCGCCAAGGAGGCGGCGCGAGCGAGGGCAGCCGCCGAGAAAGGGGCCGCCGACGTGGCGGCGGAGCAGCGCAGCTTGAGGCGGTGGATAGAAATCTTCGACATCACGGAACCACCGATACAAAGCGGCACTGGCCGCATGCTGTGGCCTGCCACAGAGAGCCAGTGGGGCGCCCAAGCCCAGAGGGCCAAGCGCAAGGCGGCCGCGGCCGCTAAGACGGCCGCGGCCGCGGCCGCTGCTGCGCCGCGGCGGCCCTGAGGCTGCCTTCTTTAGGCTGCGTTCCGTCCAGGGCCCGAGAATTCACACCACCACCACCACCTCCGTCACCCTCCCCTTCTCCTCCCTCCTGTTCGTTTCCTCTGTCCTCGGAAGGGGGTGAGAGGGGATGGAGGTGGTGGTGGTGTCTATGTTTGGGCCCCTGGCGAATGTTCGCAATTCGAGTGATCGAAACGATTCGCTGTCGAATCGTCGCAGTACAGGGTTCGCTCAGATTGCACACGTCCGCCCTGTGGCATCGGAGAAAGAATGCCGTCGCCAATGATCGTCGCGCGAGGGTGCCCCCAGGAGGGGCAGACGACCCGCGGGGGCGCGCATATAACAGCGCGAGGGCGCGAAGATATACGCGCCGAAATTGCGCGGCCTAAGTCACCAGCTGGGGGCGCAAAGATAACCGAACGAGGGCGCGACGGCGCGAAGATAACTGCGCCGAAGCTAGGCGCCGAAGATGACCGCTGGCTCGAGGGGAGCTTCAATGGAAGGAGAGGTTTTTGGAACTGGGCCTGAAGCCGACGAAAGAACGATGCCTGGAGCCGAGCCCGTAACATGGCTGGGGCACCGCGATGCCTGG